AAAGCTTAAAATAAGGGACGGCGATCCATACTTTTTTTATTATATGTTTGAAATTATAGAATTTGGCAAAGTATGGAAAGTTCTTTTTATATAGACCAATATCTACCTTACAGATTAACAGCAGGCCGAAATCTGATTTTTAAATATATAATTACTTTTAAGTGACCAGATGTGTATTTTTAAGTAACTGCTATATATACACATGGATCAATGTTTTCTGAAATGAACAAATATGGATCAGGAATGCATTTCATGCACTTTTTATACTATAAATAATTTTTGGTTTAGCGCTTCCATTTCTAGTCAAGATATAACTGAGTATCGGTTTACACTAAATATTTTTTGACATTCTTTTTAAAATCATTTCCAAATGGATAATATTTCGATTTCAATGGTTTTGGTTTTGTAAGACGTAAAAAATGCCAGAGTTTTATATATACATTGTAGTGTATAGACAGCTGTCTATTGTTGCCGACAGCATGACTCCAGTGTTGTACGGTTATCTTTGTCGTTGGATTGCTGCCTCATTGAAGCTTATCTATCTCCTTTTTTCATATGAATATGAAAGGAATGAGACATCGTACGTAGATTGAGTGGATCGACGTGTTTCATGTACGCTAACTATTTCTGTCCGAGTGCAGAATCTGATGGCGGTGGTTAACCGGTTGTCATTTATCCATGTTCGTTTTTTTTTATTTGTTTTAGTTTATTCTTTGCGACGGGATTTTGTTGTTCCTTTACATAAGCCATTGTGATATGCATAAAATATTTTTTTAAAAAATGTATATTTGGACATTATTATACGAAAACAAAACGATCACTTCAGAGAAAATTAAAAAAAAGAGATCAAAGTTGGAACAAATGATGAAATCATATAAGACATCGAAAAGAGGAGACTTCCAGTAATAGTCTTGATGTGCAGTCATGGCACCACATGATTTGAGGAACCATGGGACCTCGATCATAGGTTCCCGGTGGACGTCGATCTGAGTCTTACATATATATATGAAATATGGCACTGAATATTGACTAAAGACTTTAAGTGGCTTATAACTTTTGGTTGTTCAATATGAAATGAACTCGAGACATATAGTATACAAATGCCATTCACATTATGCCGTGCGTATTTCTTAAGATAAATAGAACTATAATTAATGCATTCAACTCTTAGTTTCACCATTTCTTCTGAATGAACTACCCCTAAATGGATAAAATAATGTTTGTCCAATTTGCAGACAATAGCAGGCGTTATTTTTTCTCCGATAAAGTTTCAATCGAATTGCCTAAATTACATGACTTAAAGGCAATAACTGTTTCATTTTGTTTGCGGGGCATTATCAATTATGACTGGAAACGGCAATTCCCGATAAAAAAATTACGAATGTTGTGACCACTACATGTAATGCTGTCGCGGCTGCATATTATGCTGTGACCACTGCATATAATGATAATCATCAACATAAGGCAGTCATGGCGTTCCATAAAATTGAATGTTTTTTCCATCCATATCAGTTATACAACAGGTGTGAAAAATTTGAGATCTATAGTAGAATTTCGTTTAATAAAAAGCCTCCGAATTATACTTTGAATTATTTTGTCCATCAGGACATTTTATTGGACACGGGAAAACTGACGATGTTTTTAAAGTTACACCGCAGTTACATAATGATGACTTCAGAGAGCTTCTTTAGGACATGTATATATTTTCTGATATTATTAAAATCCATTTTTAACCGTTAAATCTTATAAAAAGTGAAGGTTTGAGTAGCTAATTTGGACATTTTTTCTCTTCCATCTCTAAACTCTTCTGACGATCTTCCTTCTCTAACAGTAAAAAACGTCTAAAACCCCATTTTACGTTATAGGTATACAATACAGTTGTAAAATTATATAACATTCTACTTACTATTTAATCCGCACTGGGATTTCAAAGACGCGCACAAAACTGTAACAGCGGGACACCCTTAAAATGACGTTATAGGCATCGAAATGAGCAGAGTTTTTCATTACATAATGTACAAAGCACAAACTCATCTATGTTATCGATTTCTTTGGTTTATTTCCTTTCGAATGATATGCAGAACATGGATATGTATTGTATAGGAAAAGAGCTTCAATTTGAATAACCCGCCATCTATCGTATATTTCCAAAGAGACACCAATACCGTGCGCAACGTCTTAATCACTTAATTAGTTATATTTCAAATAGAAAAAAAGAGTTTCACCTTTTGAGAATACTAATGCAGGAGTTCCGCAAGGCTCTGTATTGGGTCCCCTACTATTCCTTATTCATGTATATGACATAGCTGGTAATTTGATAAGACTAACTCGATTGTGTGCTGATGAAACATCCCTTTCTTTTTAAAGTAATAGTCCTTACACATTAGAGGATGTCTTAAATAGCGATTTAGAACAAATCTTAGCATGGTCTTAAGATTGGCTTATTGATTTTAACCCTTACAAGACAAATGCTATGCTATGGTTGTACTCAACAAGATTACGACAATTTAGAACATGTTTAGTTAGAAGCAGGAATATTAGTAACTGGGTTGCCCGTGTTTGCTTGTCGGGAAGTTATATATTTTAAGTGAAACAGGCTGAAATTTGCTAGTGGACAGAAGAAAGTCCAGAAAGCTCACTATGTTCTATTATTTATATAATGGGAATGCCTCTACGATTTAATGCCACTTTTTGGTCAAATTTCTAATTATAATTTGCGAAACAATTATGTGATACCCAGTTATAGATAGATTTAACCAGAGAATCCTTTTTTTTCGATCTACTACTATTGAATGGAATAGCCTAAACCCCGACATACGTACGTCCAGAAATATGAATATATTTAAACGAAAGATGAAGTCTAAATTGATACAGACACCTAAGGTGGCGTAGCTAGGCATTTTTTTTTAGTGTACGCCCGAACTTCGAAGAGGCGCCTAGTGGCTGCAACATACCCCAGCGTGTCCGTGACAGAGCTAGTGTACACGGGTTCCAGAGATCGAAGCCCCCCCCCCCCCCCCCCCTTACTGGCAAAAATGGAAAAAGATATTAATGCTGTCAGGCACCGACCATTGAAAAACAATCGGTCTGTTTAAAAAAAGAAAAGAAAATAACTGTTTGTTTTTTTGTTTTTGGCAAATTAGTAAAATGACCGTTTGATTTAAAATCATTTTAAATTATTTTGAAATAGATTATTGATAATAATTTATTTACATGTGAAAAAGCTAGACTTTGTGGCGTAGGGATGTAATTGAGTGGTTTTGTGTGCAATTATTTCCCATTATTTCGGCAGTGAATATCTGCAAGTATTTCATTATGTTGTTTGATTTACACATTATAACAAAACTAAGAATATGACGGATAAATTTATAGTTAGCTGTTTAACGTCCAGTGGCAACTATTAGATGTATTATTAGGAGGACCTTTAAAATGTTATAAATATGAACAAGGACATCCTTTGTTATGCAAACATGTGTATCACGGAACAAGCGATGACCTTTAGACCCTGTGTAGCATATGTATATTTAGGGTTGCTCCGAATAAAGGGGATATAGATACAGGAAAATAAAGTAAACAAAATATAAAATAAGAATAGAGTATAACGGGCAAAATAAAAAATAGAGGAAAATGGTCTTAGAAAATTTAAGAATAGAGGGAAACGGTTTTTGTTGTTAGAAAATTCAAAAATGAAGACGCTCAATTATAATTTCACTTAAGAATTCGAAATATTTCATTTGCCGGACGCGCTCTTTTTTTTTATTATTGTTTAAAATCAAGTGCATTTGTAGTAAAAATAATACACTATCGTTTGTACATTGGTAAGGATTTATGTTTGGTGTTGATGAGGCACATAACGGTAATTGTTTTTATTTGAAATTTCTCAAATATTTGATTTTGTTCGACTGATTTGAATAAAAATATATCTATAATCGAAAAAGTTTAATAACGATATGTAGATGAAACTGTTATTCAGTCGATGTTTAAATACATGCGATAAAAGAGAATATATAAATATGATTAACAAACTTTTTAAACAAAAGGCAAACCTTAAGACCCCGAATATACTTTGTAAGAACATTAGATTAATTCCGAATTCCATCTAAAATACATTGTTCATTTAGGTCAAAAGAATGTTAATACCTTAGACTATTTTCAAAAAATGTTGACTGAAAACCCTGCAGACTGCAGTTTACTCGCACATTCATCAAGTACCTATTTCCACGGCTATCGTATCTTTTAATTTGTTTAAATTTATTTCAGTGTTTATTTTTCAAACTGTTCATGTAAATAATTTTGGATCAACATAGAGTCAGATTAAGTTATAATTTATTAAATGATTAATTAAAAACTGAAATATGCATCCAATCTAAATGTTACGCCTATGATAACCTATATAAAAAGATTTAACAGAACACAATTCATGTTTTATATATATTTTAAAAAACCATATACGCTAAACGAAACTATGTACGCCAAGAAACGATGTACGCTAAACGATACGATATACGCTAAACGAAACGATGTACGCTAAACGATACGATATACGCTAAACGAAACGATGTACGCTAACCGATACGATATACGCTAAACGAAAAGATTGACGCAATACCATACGATGTACGATAAAAGGGAGCTTATGTTATCGTTTATGGTATGGTTTATGGTACATGGTTTTGTTCGTACATCATTCGTTCAGCGTTCGTACAACGTTCGGTTAGCGTTTCGTTTGCATTCGTACACCGTCCGGGAATCGTACGTACATCGTTCGGGCATCGTCCGTACATGATTCGGGCATCGTTCGTATTGTTAACTTTTACGTTACACGGACTGTACATGTACACCACTGTGCCAAGTTAGGCAGCATGCAAACATATTTAACCCCGCCACTTTCAGTAAATATCATTTTTGGAAAAAACTTTACACATACATGTATTTTTATGATAAAATTATATACAATTCATCACAAATCTGAAGTATAAAATATAACATCTGAAACTCACGTTCCCAAACTTTAAAGCAACCCGCACAGTTACAATCAGTCTTTCTCTCAAATGACGAAATATCATCCGTACAGTAACAGTCTTTTTCCTTTAGTAATAATAATTATAATGACAATGATAATAATAATACATGTAATAATAACATTTATTATTATGATAATTATTATTAAATTCAATGATGATAACAATAATGAATCTGTCTAGACGTTCATAGAATGGCAGAGGTTGAGACTGCAAGAATGATAGTTGTTATGGGGGAAGTGCCGGTTGAAAAGGTGTCTGTACATTAGCTGGGGTCGGATGAGGGGCCTGCATTTGAATAGGTACTGTAGACGGACTATATGGAGAATCATGAATGCCTTGACCATATAATGCTTGATGAGCAGCACTATATGATCCACAAATTGTAAAGTCATTTTGAGTTGTGTTGTCATTGCATTTGCGGTTATCGCCATTTTTGTACGTCTCGTAGCTGGGGATGGGGTACTTGTGTCACTTCGATTCCTTTTTTTTTACTTGTTTCCATTTAAATCACCACATAAACTTCAGGGTTGGCAAAAACCCGGGTTTTATGAGTATTACCCAGCCCAGTGGGAAATACTGAGAAAACCTGGGTTTTACTGGGTTTTTACAGGGTAATACTGGTCAATACTGGGTAATAGGAAATACTGGCCTATTTTAAGGAGGATTAATCACAAATACAATAAGTTAAAGATTTAAAAAAAAAATAAGATATAACATTTTAATTTATAAGTTCACTTGTTTGAGATTCTTAATATAAAGTGTAAAAATCTGAGAACAGATTAATTGTCCAGCAACTCTAAGACAAGTGTACATGAAGAAACATAAGACAAATATGAAGAGCTTTTCTAAATAATCCTCCTAAAAATCTATTTAATTACCATTCTGTCTAGATTGGTCAAAGTGTTGACTTAAAGTCGAAGAATTCAATTTGATTTTTTTTAATAATTATAACTTGTATTAAGAATTAACATTTATATTAAATTTGTTTTCATTATCTAAAAATGTTTACTTAGTTTTAGCATATGTTTATGTACATCACTAACTTATAAGTAATTATTCAGATTATAACACAGATTTGTTTATATAACAACAATCAGCCTTTTGATTTCGATTAGTGTGTATGGCCTGTCCCCTTAGGGTGTTTATTTACCAATAGGATTGTATAACAATTAAGATTTTAAATTCACTAAAATACTGCAATTAAATGCATTTTTTCAAAGTTTCAAATTGGATTATTGAAACAAAGCTTGGAAATTAACAATGTACTCTGAAAAGGTGCAAAACTTGTATTCTGCCTACATAGAACTAGTGGAGAAAAGGAGGAAATTGAATTTTCAATCTTCAGGAATGACTCTTAATGGTTATCTGTATAGAATGTATATATTTAGCTATGATACTATTAAACTACAACAAACCTTTACTATTTTGTGTAAAAATAAGCTTGAAAAATCATATTACCCAGTATTGCATGCCCAGTATTACCCGTTTCTGGGAGTATTGCCCAGCCCGGGAAAACCCGGGTTTTCCCACCCGGGTTTTCCCGCCCGGGTAATACTTTGCCAACCCTGATAAACTTACTAGTTTCATTATATTGAATCTAATCACTACTGTTTCCCACTATTGGTTCATCCTTTACTTGTCCAAAATCAACAGTAATCACCATTGTGTACACCTGAGTTTTCTCACGACTCCTACCTGCCCGCCATCTTTTAGTATTTTCAAGTGTTGAGTAAGTTAATTGAATTTATAAAGGTATATCCATATTACCCTTGGATTAAAATAATTGAAGTTCTATCAGGTACAATGTAAAAAGATGTGGGATGTTTTATGAATAGCTTTGAAGATTACGAGTTTTGAACCTTAGTTTATACCAAACATATACCACGATATATACTTCGAAATTACTTTGACTATGAACATTTAAGTTGTTTTCTTATGTTTTATGTGTAGTATCTGCTTCGGTAGTGACGGTTTTTGAGTTTATATCTAATCAACTTAAACTCTATTAAACTCTGCCGGTGTGAGATCTGCGGTCAGTTTTAAAAATAAGTGGTAATGTTTGTAATGTTAAAAAAACGGTTTGGAATAACAAAAATCTCACATATCGAATGTTAAAATATCGTTGAAATCCGATTGTTTATTGCATCATTCTGTCTTATACATGTTATATAAAAAGTACTAAAGTGGCCTTTGATGTTATGCTTTCCTCTTGTTTTCTGTTGTTTAGTTGCTGTCTTATATACGTTAAATATCTTCATTATAGATAAACTATTTATACTTATAACTTAATGCTATCCAAAAGTATTCTTTCAAACATAATTACCCGAGCAGAATAAAATGTGTAACGTTCGCATAATTTTTGGCATTCAAGCTCTTCCGAATATTCTAACGAGAAATGTAGGAGCTTTCCATAGAAAAGGAAACAACCTGCAAATAAAAATAGAAGTCAACGTTTAGAAAAAAAAGGTAATAATGTTAGCAATAATAATAAAAACACCAACATAAGTGTACACTCAAAGAAATACATAGACGGGTTTACTATGTAAATAAATCAACTAACTGTTCATAGGACTACTAGTCATTCAAATAAAATTTACTAGGTAGAAAATTAATGAAATAGAATGACTAGTAAATTAACTAGAAAGATCAGTTCTTTTAACTAGAAACACTAATAAATTAACAAATATACTAGTTATAATTTGTCCTTTACTAAGAAGGCTAGTACATCTACTATGTATTTATTCAGTGTTATTGCAACTATTACTATTATAGTTTTGTTTTTCAACTAGTACGTTTAACTTCATTCCCACTACTTGTATCAATAGAAATGTGCGGGATAAACTTCCAACGAGACAACAACTCAACGACAGCCAAAATGACACCCAGGCGACAACATACGTTAACAAAAAATAGATGTCTTTACAATATGCCATACTTTAAATTGGTACAAGTCCAAATAAGTTGGCAATACATTTAACTGAAACATTCAAAGATCTGCCATCAATAACTAATAATTGAAATAAGGAACTAAAAAAAACCAAGATATGATTATCAAAAACTACTGACGAGGATCTTGACTTGCAAAAAGGCTGTGATTTAACTGGACCCTTTTCTACGATATCCTTTCTGGTACATAGGACATGAACACATATATATATATATATGCGTTTGATATTAATAAAGATAAAAACACATTATACCATGTATACTATGCTGAAGTTTAAGATACTCGTTTTATTACTTATCTTACAAAATTATAAGCCTAGTATCTTTGATGTCTTTTTTTTTACTACCATCAATTTCTACAAAAACTATAAAAATTTTTAAGACAATTTCAAGTTGAAAATAAGAATGCCGGAAAAAAACGTGGTTCAGCAGATAACAGCAGTTTTAGTTCACTAATTTTCGGAAACGGATTTAAGGCTTGGCCTTTTGTATAGACACATGTCTACTGTTTAAACCATATATGTATGTTGACCTCTTGATGTATTTTGGTGTTTTGTGTTATGAGGTTGCTGCCTTTGTGAGTTTATATACCATATCTTTCGTAAGTCATTAGATATGTATTTCCCTTTACCTTCTACAATTGTACTTAAATTCATTGAAATATACATCTAACATGCTAAAAATAAATTAATTACAACAAACCTCGTATATAGGACCAATTTGAATATGACACGTATTTACCGAGCCATAAATTGAAGATACTATTTGAAATGTTCTCGAATTTTTGCATCACTAATGTTGCATTACTCTCCAGGACTCCGTCATGTTGTGAGCAGAATTCAGCTGCATTTTTCCATGACAATTTTTGCTCGAAAAATGTCGAATTCAATATGTGCTTTCCTGGATAATAAGAAAAAAGGTCAAACAAGTTGTCTTATTGTACACCGCAGAAGATTTAAGCTGGAAATTACGAATTAACAAATGAATAATTATCTGCTGAATGTGCCATCAATGAATTTTTTACCGATTTCTTATCACTCGATTCTACAACTGTTGACTTATATGAACAGCAGATTCTGCATCTTTTTCTTGAATCGAAGACCTTTCATGAATACTTTTCCTTATTTTGACATCCGTGGCAATGCTTCGGAGTTGTAATTCGTCTACCGTCATTGGGGTTCTGATTGATAATTTGTCCTTGTAAGCGCTAGAGGTTTGGTATCCTGTGCATGTAATCACAAAAAAATGATAACAAATCCAGATTACTCATTACTTGGATCCTTCGGTTTTTTTTTACATATAACATACATATAACATACAACTGACTTAGTACACGTTTAATATATATCTAGTGATTATACACCTTTAAAGAAAACCTTATCGCTAATCACATTGCTAAACATATTGTTTAGGCACATGCTATAAATGTTTGAAAAGCGTAAGTTGAATTGAAATATCCTGTTTGTCCTTGGCTTGCTGTTTCATTGACGAAAATGTTTCTTCTAAAGTGATTACTAGATATATGGTAGTATTCATGTAAATTTTGACTAGCATGCCAGATAAAAAAGGCCAATAAGAATATGTTTTCTTTTAAAAAAAACCTTGGATTGCGTATCGATAAAAGTATATATCAAAAAACTATACAAGTTATACATTAAAGAATATTCAGAACTGGTATTACAAGTAGTGCACATTTAAAATGAAAATCTATAACAAAAGACAAGAAAATTACATTAAACAGTACTCAGGAAACTAAAGGTTAATCATGAACAACAGGGATTTCAACAAATATTTATCCGGTGTTTATTCGGATGTTAAGGAAGGATACATGGTTTTCGTTTCACATGTGACAACCGTGACACCACCACTTTGGATTAGATGAATGATGTTTCTTTTCTAAAGATCCACATTATCAAATTAATAACCAGCCGTTCTTTGTAAATTTAAACTTAGCTCAGCTAAATTATTGTACACCTCAATATAAAATGGAATAGAATGTCTTTCATGTATTATATATAATTTCATAACAACTACATGATTTTAAACGTTAATGTATTTTCATATTGCATTGTACATTATTGACTATTAATGAGGTTGATAAAAGGAGTTATAAACTAACGATTTGTGATATTCATCGGAGCGCACACCCGCGGTGAGTGTCACATCTCTGGGATTGATAAATCATAGTATCAATTTATTTCAAAAGTTAACAATTGTTTTAATGACTAATTGCTTAGAGTATTTGTTCAAGCTGATTAAATGCTCGTTGATTTTATATTTTCTAAATACATTATCTGCTTCGACAGTTTTCTAACTTATGTGTTTTAATTTATTCCTTATACTTTTAAAATATACTACCGTATTGAATATTTATTCTTTCATTCAATAAAAAACCCCATTCTATTTAATTGAGACATTTTAAAATAACTCACAAAACATTCTCATTACTATAACTAGGTACAAAATAGGTGTCAAAATATTATATAATTGTACATGTATTTACCTCTCATGACTTTTCCTGTTATTATAATGTTTTACAGTAGTAAATCTATTATGCCATTAGATAATGAGAACAGATAATGTAAAGTTATATAATACAAAATATGTCTTACCTTGGCCATGTTTCCATAAAGCAATAAATAATGAAAGATACAACAGGTGTTTATTCATCTTCTCGCAGGTTCATTTTCAATGGAGATCTATACAAAACAAGGAAGTTGTTGTTAACCAATGTAATTGTATCCGTCAACTTAATGCATTGTGTTATTAATACACATAAAAGGCTATTAATGGTTGTAGTTGACAGGTATGGAGGTCTTGATTGGGTCCTTCATTTCTATATGTGTTAACTTTTTATGCATGCCAATTTTCTTTATTCTTTATGAATTTTAACTTGTATTCCCTATTCTCTAGATATTTTGCTCTTTATTCTGTACTTTAAACCCAAAATTGTCTATTCCGTAAACTCCAACCAGACCCTCAGTTGTCTACCAAAATTCAGTACGTAAGTATGATATTAAATATGATATTTCATCTAGGAAGGTTTTGTAATTCTTGTGAATTAAAATTGCTCTAAAATGAGTGTTCAAATTAACAACAACAGAAATAGTTGTATATATATATTCATGATAAACTCAATTTTAAGAGACTTTGAGTTTCAGGAACTATAATTGTGATAAAATATATCTTTCGTATTTATTATAAAAGGTCTGTGCTACTTATGGTTAACATTTCTTTGTCATATTCTCTTATTATATATTTTTTCCAATGTTCTTGTAGATTTTATAATCGTGTAATACCATCGCCATGTTTAATTTCCAGAAGTTTTGATTATTTATAACTTTTCCTTCAAACTTATGTCTTTAAACAGCCACACAGATGTTCTTACATATTTCAATGATAATCGCATGATCAACTTTACAGTATTTTATATATTAAATGTACTTACATGTTTACGACCGATCAAGGAAGTAGGAAGTAAGTTGTTTAGGTTCGCGTTCACATCACTTAAACAATATGCATGTACTAATTCACCGTCGCAAGACAAATATTTTGAACTTCCTACAATTGTTTTTGGTTGATTTAACAAATTAGCTTGCGTATCTGATTAACACAAAGAATTAGTACAAAGAAATATTTTAAACGTGGTAAATTTACATTTAACAACCTGTTCATCAAACCGTATGATACGAAGATTTTCAAATAGGTAAAAATAGACATACTAATAAAAATGTCGCTAAATGACTATCATAAATTATTACTACTTTAACACATTATAAAATTATAAAAAGAATTTCACTATCAATGAAGGTTAATATTTTAACTATAGATTGAACTAGTTCTCATGCTGTGTAGACCAGATATATGAATGTGCATATATACATATAAGGGACCGTTCAATAATTCAGATGGATGGGTCGGTGCAAAATGGGGCGGGGCAAGCACTTTTTTTGTGTAAATATTTGGATGGGCGAGATCTTTTTTTAATATGTATTGTGGATGGGCCAGAACTTATTTTATAGGAAAATATTTTGCTATAAATTTTGTCGTCGTGTAGGAAATTTCTTTTGCTGGCACACAAAACATATTAAAAAAAATAACAATTTCAAAATGATTTTAATGAATTTTAGAAATAATTAAATCATGTAAGGGATAACAATTTTAAAGATTTAATTAAAAGATAAAAAAGCTAGAATTTTCAGTTGACTAGTTTCTGATAGTCACTTATAAAAATTTCTATAGATTTTCAAATCAACTTGGATTTTCATATTACTCTATAGAAATCTCAATTGTATTTTGACCTTACAGAATACTAGGTTGTTTGGCAGTTTGGTATTTTACTGTCAAATTTATGGATTTAATCAATAGGTAAAAAAATAAGCTAAAATTTTCAGATTAGGCTAAATTCAGATAGTCACCTTTAAATTTGTTTATAACTTTTTCAAATCAACTTGGATTTTCATAAAACTCTACAGCTATCCAATTTATATATTGATCTTACAGAATGCCAGGTTGTTTGGTAGTTTGGTGTTTTGCTCTCATTGTTATGGCTTTAGTTAATAGGTAAAATAAAAATCCAAAATTTTCAGTTTAGGCTAAAATCAGATAGTCACCTTAAAATTTTATATAACTTTTTCAAATCAACTTGGATTTTCATATTACTCTACAGCTATCTCATTTCTATATTGATTTTACAGAATGCCAGGTTGTTTGGCAGTTTGGTGTATTGTTGTCAAATTTATGGATTTAATTAATACATGTAGGTAAAAAAAGTTAAAATTTTCAGTTAAGGCTAAATTCAGATAGTCATCTTTAAAAATTGGTATAACGTTTTCAAATCTACTTGGATTTTCATAAAACTCTACACCTATCTCAATGTTATATTGATCTTACAGAATGCCAGGTTATTTGGTAGTTTCTGTCAAATTCTATGATTAAATAAGAAAAAAAAAAAGCTACAATTGCATCAAAGTAAAAAAACATGTCTGCTTTTGCTTTAAAAAGACCATAATTTCTTTCTTGAAAAGTAGAATAGATAAAGTGACATTGTACATTTGAAATATAGACATGCTCTGTTATTAAGACAATAGTTGGTAATTCAGCATATGATAATATGTTTACTGGTCTAAGAGTTATTGTCCCTAAATTTAAATTATTCCCTTTATTTTAAATTAATAGTGATTTTTGAAAATTGTATACAAATTGGATATTTAGTTTATATTTTTTTTTTATTGTTAACAAAAGTTTGAATAAATCTTCATGTCCTATGGTCACAAAAGAGGAAAAAAGTGGTGAGTCAGACCCTATGCCTGAAGTGGATGAAAAATGTGTTTGTCCTACTATGGTTTGCACCGGTCCCACCTGCCTGATAAATATTGCATGGTCCCTTACATGAAAACACAACATTTTAAAACTTTGATCAACTACAATGTAACAATTTTCACATGAATGGGGTTATCTCCCATGTATCAAAACTTGTAAAATTATACTTGTTTAATATATTCAGTATAAACTAGTAGTTACTGATCAATTCTTAAAAATATAAAATAACTATAGCAAAAGATTTGCATACTGACTTATATTTACTAATTTCAAAATGACAGAATAACTCCAAGAGCACATGTATTTAAAAAAAAGTTAATTTCTTGTTCTACTTTAAATAATACCAGAGGCTGTCCTCTAATACATGTTTCAATGATAGATAATCGATTATCGTATGGATGATATTCTATATTAATCTTAAAGACAAATATAGGATCAATATATCAAAAATATTTCAAACACCAGTCTTTCAATGTACAAGTATTTCTATTATATTTCAAGAACCAAGCAGGATATAATTAAGGTACATGTATTGAAGGAAAATCAGAAAGGTTTTATCAAATGAGTTTTTGTGGTGCAATTAAAAGATATGCAGATAATGTTTACCTCCCATATTTTGAATGGACTTGAGTAAAATGTAAAAAGGGATCTGAATTCAATACAAAACTGATAGAAAGGGGAGATAATTTATTGATTAGCAATATAATTTACTGTCATTTTAAGACACTACCACATATGCAATTATTTAATAGAACTTAAGAAGAGATACATTAAACTGTTTCAAATTTAAAATGACCTCAGATTTCAGAATAAATATAAACTTAAAATTGAGAATGGAAATGGGGAATATGTCAAAGAGACAACAACCCGACCAAAGAGCAGACAACAGCCGAAGGCCACCAATTGGTCTTCAATGCAGCGAGAAAATCCCGCACCCGGAGGTGGTCCTCAGCTGGCCCCTAAAAAAAATTGTGTGCTAGTTCAGTGAAAATGGACGTCACACTAAACTCAAAAACATATAAATGAACTAAAATTAAAAAAGATACTAGACTAACAAAGGCCAGAGGCTCCTGACTTGGGACAGGCGCAAAAATGCGGCGGGGTTAAACATGTTTTGTGAGATCTCAACCCTCCCCCTATACCTCTAGCCAATGAAGAATAAAGAAACACATATCAATACGTACTGTAAAACTCAGTTTAAAAGAAGTCCGAGTCCGATGTCAGAATAGGTAACAAAAGAAACTAAGCAAAATGACAATGATACATAAATGAACAAAGGACTACTAGCAGTTACTGACATGCCAGCTCTAGACCTAAATTAAACTGATTGAAAGATTATGTCTTCATCATATGAAAATCAAGTACAATCCCTCCCGTAAGGGGTTTAGTATCATATCATCATAAAATATATGAGACGAACATAACAAGTATCATGCCAACAACTGGTTTTAGAATAAATGTGTTTATTTCCGATGCAAAGACCCTATGATTGAATCAATATTAATACCAAAATATGCAATCCTTAATGACTTGACAACAGTATCGTAACTATATCCTTTCCGAATAAGTCTGTTTAAAGATTTGGTTAGCTTTTGAGGTGAATGCCGACATTTTTGTGCTTTGTAAAGAATATAACCATAAAATATTGGATGTGAAATACCTGAACGTAAAAGATGTCTGCATGTTGATTTATATTTACGAATGATGTCCTTGTACCGATGATAAAATTTAGTAAATGTTCTGACTAGTTTGTGATATCGAAAACCCTGGTGTAATAATTCTTTAGTAATACAGAGATTTCTTTCGTTGAAATCAAATACGTTGTTACATACACGAGCGAATCGAACAAGTTGAGTTAGTACATTTAATAGTATGGTTAATATTTCTTCATCTATTTATGATTTGTATGAATAGTGTTAGCACTTCTTAAGTCTCTATTAAAGGCTTGCTGATATAGTATACTATAACTTATGTATTGAGATGTAATTGTGATGTTTATAGGTATATTGTATCAGGCTGTACTTATAAAATCAAATATATACATGTACAATGATGTATATTCATGACATTTATACTTAAATTGATTTCAATAATTTCTGATTCTGATACATATAAATATATAATATATACACCAAAGTCTATTCTTTGATTTCCAGACATAAATTAACATGTAAGCATTAAAACAGAAAAAAAGAACCTATATCATTATTGGTTGTCTTTAAATTTTAGAGGGGCAAGCACTTTTTTAATAGAATATTTGAAATGGGCAAGCACTTTTTTGCAGAATTTAAAAGGATGGGCATCAAGTTTTTTAATAAAACAATATTAAGAATGCACCGGCCCATCCTTCTGATAAATATTGAACGGTCCCTAAAATAAGGGGGTTAAGAACTAGAGATTTCTTCTTATGTCAGCTCAATAGATAAACTTAGGTCATGTGCCAAAAATAAACTTTACAGAAAGACATCTTTTTGAAAATCTCGAAGTAAGTGTTAACGAAACAGTTGATACATGTACATAGATATGTTGATACTTTTTTTTATAGAATTATATTGTTCAAGTAATCATACCTAAATATACACAAATTAAAATTCAGATAAGTACAATAAAATTTAAATTTACAAATTTTCCAGGACTCCAACTCAGTCTACTAAGTATCTTTTTGGGTCTATTCATCAATACTGCAAATCATTTGTCCTTCAAACATATATAACATAATGAAACAACTGCACTATAATATGTCCTTTGATTGAGTTAAGCTATTTCAGTTGATATTTTATAATGTGTCTTTCTATGTTGTGATGTTAGACTATTGTTTCAGAAAAAGGGTGAAGGTTTGGTACCATTAAAACTTTTAAACCCACTGCATTTGTTTGCACCTGTCCTAAGTCAGGAATCTGATGTTCAGTAGTTGTCGTTTGTTGATGTTGTTCATAAGTGTTTCTCGTTTCTCGTTTTTTATATAGATTTGACCGTTGGTTTTCCCGTTTGAATGGTTTTACATTAGTAATTTTTGGGGCCCTTTATAGCTTGCTGTTCGGTGTGAGCCAAGGCTCCGTGTTGAAGGCCGTACCTTGACCTATAATGGTTTACTTTTATAAATTTTGACTTAGATGGAGAGTTGTCTCATTGGCACTCATACCACATCTTCATATATCTACTTTAAATTAGGTGCATTGGAAACACAATAATGAATTGGAAATGTCTGAGACGGAGAATTATATCACACATTATTTAACATATCTTTCTCGACCACATACGTTTCTCGGCGGATGTTTCGAACTAATAGAATGACGCTTTATTATATCGGGACTGCCATGATATTAAATGAGTAATATATATATTGCAGGTACAATGCATCACATACGACTGGTT